CTTAGAGAATTGGACAAGAGTCTGACTGATCATAATTTCGGTACCCTGCCGTCATCGATCACCGCCATCCTCACCCTCCCTACCACGATCTCCACGGCGCACTCCCACCATCGGCCAGAACACTCCCGACGCCCTGTCAACCGCCATCCTCACCATCACCGTTCCCCGCCCCCAGAGATCTTGATTTGGTCCCACACTATCCCACGCACATTCATTCATCGCATAGGCCCATTCGGTCACACGTGTATCCGCAACAGCAGAGTTCATCACAGTATCAACACACCAAGTGTGGAGTACATTCGACCGCCAAAGGATGGCCCGTTCGCGTAACTCACACCGAGCCTGTTGAACCTAGCTGCTTTCTAGCCTGTCTAGATTAAGTCGCCTGAGTTGGCTTACTTCGTACCGCCCGTACGTGGAAAGAGCGTAACTAAGCAGAATTGTTCGGAAACACGGTTCTATAATTGATATGATTAGCAAAATGTAAATGTTACACTTACAACTAAATGTCTCCAAGCGTACAGTCAGAAGGGTATGGAGTAGTCAGAACGATGTGGCGTATAGTCAGAAAGGCAGTATCAAGTTATGTGGGAGCAAGACGGGAGATTCAAACAACTAGTACGAGGGTTGGAGAAAAACAGAACGATGTAATTTTCGGAGACGAACAAAAAATGTAAGGTATATGCTAAGAGGTGTCGATAAAAAAGGGAAAAAATACGTGGGAACGTACACCTAGCACACTTTGCGCATTCAAAAACTCTCACATCACCAGACCAATCGGGTCCCCATCGACCACCACTAACAACGCAACGACTTCTTGGCATCTCGCAGCTTATCCTCCCACATCGTCGCCGCATATTCGTCTAGCGCGCCCTCCTGGTCGGTCACTTGCGAACCCATCCCAGACAGAGGCTGACGAATTAGTCCCTGTGGCACCAACGTACACCTGATGTCATCCTATCAACTGCCCGCATTGCCCTGGTACATTTAACCATTTCGTGGGCCTATTTGGCATTTGCGCCTTAATGAAAAGTTGATATAAACCACCACAGACATGACTACATTAGCACAAATTCCGCCAGCAACACATGCACCACATATGAAGACCAGCATCAAACACCGCCGGCACCTGCCATGTAGATGGAGATTTTGTTCTTCGGCTCATTCCTCCATTTGGCTCCTCTGCTACATGTGACAAATCATGGTGGGAGGCCAGATCGTGTGTGTGGCACACGCAGACGAGCTGCTTTCAACTCTGCTACCCACCGCTCCCGCTTTCAGCATCAGTTGGTTGACCGGATCGGACAGCCGACTTGTTCACGTTTAGGGTAGAGCGAGTGAAATCGACTTTAGGCGCACAATCCTTCCCTATAAACAATTTGGCACACTTGAAACTACTATAGTGCGCTATAAGCCGTGGCTTGGAACGTTGCCATCTGACGCTTCAGCTCTAACCACGCAGTCGGTCCAGCTGCGTAGTTGTGTGTTGAGTAGCTGACTGATGGACTGAGAGTCAGACTGTGATGGCTCCTTCTCTCACACGCATGCGAGATCCGAGACGCCTCTTACCTCGCGCGTGCAAACCTGGTGTACAGGTTTGAGGGCGGGGTCGCGCATGTGGCGCGCGCAGATGGACTCTTAAACTTTATCGGCCACCGCGTCCACTTTTCAGACATTTGACCGACTCGGACAGTTGACCGGTGAACCAGATGGGTTAGAGTGAGTGAAGAAGATTCGAGCACCGGAACACTTTGTTTATTGTCCTGAGTTTTCAGACTCGTACAGGAGTCCATCGCCAGAGGTACTGAGTGAGGTCAACGACTCTCAGCGCAGAATCTCTAACCACATACAGTCTGATGCGCCTGAGACTTTCACGGTGCGTTAAAAGCCGTGTCTTGGAAGGCAATCCCACATCGTCGGATTCAAGCCGGTGTGATGGCATGTGTTTGGATACGGGTTTTCACCTTGCCAGCCGCATACATCCTCCCCCGCCGCCGGTTTTCTTGACTTTGTCATGACACCGGATCCAGGTGGTGGAGGAGGAGAGTGCGGCAGATACAACGAAGATATACTATTACTGCTCTCATCCTACAGTGGGTACACGATGAACATCGTAAGAAATGACGGTCGAACTGTCTGGCCAGTAAGAGCCGCGGTTGGCTTGAGGGAACACTTAATGTGTGTCCTCTTGAAGGATTGTAAAATCAGACCGTTGCGGACCATGAACCTCACAGAGTACCAACCTTTTCCGGATATACTCCTGCAAGACCTGCGTTTTTTCAGACGCTCCTCGGACCCTTAAACCAACTTCTTTACCCTCTTCGCGCGTTAGCAAATATAGTACTGAGGTCCACCTAAGAGTACTCATAGGAAACTTTTTTTACTCTCTCAGGCTCAGTAATGCGTATGGTGCGCAGAAGTTTCCCTCTGCTGGTCCGCAGCTGGCAGCCAGGCCTACTGAGCATCTGCCCAAATGGCTTTTAAAACAAGGAAACAACATCCCGCGTTCCTCCATTGCAAAAGACCTGCTTGATAGTGGCCACTCCGTCGACCCTAAAACATCCTTCTGAGTACTTGTTCGAGCACGAAAAACTCGGCATTGCGTTACCTGGAGGCGGCCCATATACGGCGGGTGAAACCAAGTCTATGTAAACAGCTGGAAGCTGTAGTCAGCCTAACTTTGCCATCGTAATCACTAGCTCCATGATTTTCAAATTCCCCTTCCTTTTTATTCGTTATTTTTTTTCCACTATTCTTACCATATTGTGTTTAAGTTACTAATTTTATTGATTAGCCGGCATTATCCAAAACCGTAACCTTGTTGTTTCTGCGTTGATTTTCTGCACAAAATTCAAAACTGCTACATTCTCCCGACTCGTTATTTATGCTATGAAGCAACAGGACGCAGCTGATGAGCCGTCGCGCAATTTGTTGGTACCAATAAATCCTGCCTTGCACGCTTGCTTCAGCCGTGGGAATTGCATCCACTGATATACGCTGATTGCGTAGCGCGACACAGAAGCTCCACGTTCGTCTTCGCCTGGCGGAGAACTATGTGTACTGGCACGGCCGTACGGGCAGGGGCAAAGGGACTGCGATGTTTGTTTGGCGTTTGCTTACTGTCGCCTGGCCGTCATAATTCAAGCCCAGGCTGGAGGACCCAGGGCTGCAGAGCAAGCTCTTTATCCACAGCGCCCAGTCAGCAAACCCTCTACCCACCCACGCACTTAAATTCTGCTGACAATGAGCAAGAGTATGCAAAGTCCTTTGGGCGAGGAGCTCCGGTAATGATTGGTCAGCGATAGGAAATAATTCAGGAACGCCCGTTCTTGACTTCTCGGACCCCAGGCGTATTTAAATAAAGATCGTTTTTAGGAATATAAAATGTACGAGTTTCATTTTCCAAACTAGGCCTATCTGACAGTTAAAATTCTGCATGCTGCAACCGCCTGTGATGCAACTAAAGTCATTACCACTACAACATTACTTGATGACTGAAACGCACTAGCCTCAGCCAACAGAGTTCAAGTGCAGTTTCTGTTGACTTCATTTGATTGTTTTTAGGGAAGCATTTGCGCCTACATGACGAGCTCGAAGTTTTTATGGTTAAGTGGACTCGTCACTCGCCAGGAATTGTCCAATTAAATCGTCAATATGGGTGGAGGGGAGGGCAATATCACAAGGACGCAGCTTTCGAACGGCAAAACTACAGTCTAATGAAACAATAGACCGTTCACACGCCCCAGCTTTTACCTTATACCTAGCCCTGATTACGTACGCCAAACCTGCCCGTAAACCGCCTACGTGACAAAAATCTGGTAGGGGAGGCGGCGTGCGCCCTTTCGCTTTGGTTCCCCTTCGATCGATTGCCGCACTGAACCTTCCCCTGAATCATTATTTTTTACTACTACCACCTGCACGTGCTTAAGGTTGGCCGAGAAACCGTGTCAGGAGTGCACCCCCTCGCGCAGAAGGCGGATTTGTCGCAATACATCTCAGGCCCCAGCTGTCACGCTACCGCTACATCTTTGAACGGCCGACAAATGAGTGGACTACTCACCGTCGCAGAACCAGTTCACTTTTCGTCTTGCCTACCTTATGGGAAGTCACGCGTTCCTTCTTGACCATGTCAATACTGTCGTCTCTAATACGGCCACTTCAGTGATTTTCGACATTCACAGGCCGCGTTTGTATAGGCCCCACTGCTGGAGCATCAGCCCGCACCACGTGACACAGAGGCTCCGTGAGCACGCGAGGGCCACGTGATTCCCTCATTTCGCATGAACGAGGGTGCTAATGTCACGTTCTGGACTAGTGCCCATCTTTCCTATGGGGTTAAATCAGTCCGTGCTCAGGGGTGACAACGCGGCCGTGCCCGTCACCACCACACCGGACGCCAGGCTGCCCGTATGACCTGTGATGTCAGAGGGCCGCACAGCAAGGGTTTGGGGGGAGGGAGGACCAAACGCCGAGTTGTGAGGTCTACATGTGATCTGTCGCAGCCATTACAGCAAAGCAGGAGGGGTAAGGGCGAAAAAACTCAACTGGCTTTTGGCCTTTAAGGTCGCCGCACTCCATGGGCCTGTTTGAGTGACTTCAGTGGGGCGATGTTCTCTTGCTGTTGGCTACTTTTATTACTGTATTAGGAGGGAAGCAAAAATATCAATCCTAGAAGCTGGCTTGCCTTGTTGACGCAAAACTTTTCCGTTAGGGCGCTTTTGGAGTTACTCCTATGAGGCCTCAAGGACACCGTAAACACCGTGTCTTTCTGTTCATCCACAGATTGAAGTTCCAGTGACCTCGTTCCGTCTTCCAAGCCCTCTTGTTCTACTCCTGCCGCCCCGCAAATTGCCGTGATAAAAGTTAAGTAGCAACAGCGGACATTTATATGGTAATTTACAAAAATATCATTGAGGACACAGTTGCAGAGACTGCCTTGGTGAGCCAATCAAAAGTTGCAACGTCTCCTGAGCGAGCTAGCTAAGGTCGTCCACAGGTTCTCAGTAGAACTCAGCAAACCACCGTTTCCAGGTCTCCCTCAGCCTGTCTAGGAGGTATGGCCGCTTCGGCTGAAGGGTGATCTCGCGGCGTTTAGAGAATGTAGGTGTGCTGAGGGCGAGTTTGGCTGGAAACTGCACACAAATGTGGAAGTCACCGTCATCCTCTTTTAGTTCCCATCTAATATGTAGCGAAATCTGGTGGCATGGGGTGAGAAGAAGGAGAAAAAAGGTGCATAAGGCCAGTTTATTTATAAAATCAAAGGCTATCTTGTCTTCAAAATTCCGTAAACCACACTACAAGTCACTAAAAATGCAGAAACAGTGTTTTAACCCCGATATCCTTCCCCTTAACCAACCAAAACACACTTCGTGGGCAGAAGTGAGCTCTGCACTGAGGTGCATCCAGACAACTGGTAGTGAAGAATAAATACAGGGGACTGGACTGATCACTTCTGGTTCGAACAAGACAAAGGCGACGAAACATGAGGAATTTATTGACGTCATTAAATTTCGCGACGTCTTATTCAACTGCACACGGCCGTTGCGTATCTATAAGGTAAACTGTTTAATCGGAGATCGGCCTAGAGGGATGAAACATGGCAGCTAAATAAAACATGGATTGTTGGTCTGATATACGGGTGCGCATGGCGAGGGGGAGGAAAGTTATCTGAGAAAACGAGTTTACATTACGGCGAAAGTATGTCAGACGGAAATAAAACTCAACGAGCGGACGGCAGTCAGTCATGCGAGAGGGGGAGGAATGAGAAAACGAGTATGGGAATGGGGTTATGCCATTCTCGATCCTTATCGTGACAGTGCGAGGTCGATCACGTGATCTAGCTGCTTACAGAGTTTCGGTTTTTCCCTCCGTATTGCAGGGGCCTCGGCAAAACACAGGAGACGCCCAGTCGTCGCCCGAAGTAAGATCTTAAATGCAGTCATTGGGTTCACCGTGTGGCCCTTGTCCACTAGGTGCTTCGTGATTGAACTCCTGGGTGCCTTATTTACCACCCTTAGCAGCCACTTTAGGACATGTGTTCAGCTGACCGAACTGCCTTAGCTTGCGCCCAATGTATTTGCATCTACAACTAGGTGTTAACTCAAATAAAGTGTGATGTGACGTGCATCGGCCAAATTTCTGACAGGAATAGCCGTTGTAATGCTCACTAACAACAATTTAAAGGCGATGTACGTCCGTTCAATCGTGCACCGAAGTCGTCGCTTGATCACATTTGACACATTATCGCCTTTTAAAGGTAGATAGATGCTCACCGGCTTCTTCGGCACGGGTATTTCCACAGGATTTCCTTGACTGGAATGGCGATACGTATCAATGAACTTCTCCGGATACCCGTTTCCAATAAAAACGTTCTTTAGGAAACTGAATTAGTCATCGATAGTATCTGGGGAACAGATCCTAGTCGCTCTATTGAAGAGACTAAGTTTAGTTTTCTCTGAATTGGAACAAAACTGAGGAAATGCATATACCTCTCCAGGTGTTTTTTCGACAGATGGATCTCTGAATGGTACCATCTGCTCGCCTGCGTACAAAAGCGTCTAAGGAAGGCAGCGTGTCGTTTTTCTCATGCTCGATTGTGAATTTGATCTTTGCATGTGCTCTGTTCATGGCCCTAATGAGTAATTCTCCGTCTCTTGGATTTTTGACTATGGCGAAAATCTCATTCACATATTGCCTATAGAATGCGGTTTGCTGTAAGTTTTGAGCTAATTTTCGTTCGAGAATTGACATGAAAATGTCCTCTAGGACTGGCCCCGATGGGCCGCTCATAGCTACACCGTCGATCTGTCGATAAAATTGTCCGTTGGACAAGAACTGCACATTCTTTGTGCGTGTCTGTAGTAGTTGTCGCAGTTGTGCAGGTGCCAGACATGTTTCAGCCGCATGCTCGCAAATTATGTCGAGGGTTTTTCCAGTGGCAAGTTTGTAAACAGGCTCTGCGCGTCAAGCGAGATCATATGCCTATTCGGTAAATCTCGATTCTTCAGCTCATCGACGAATGAGAAAGTATCTTTGGTGGTGCAAGCAGCAAAGTTGCGTCTGATTGGTTCGATTTATTGAACTAGCCACGGGGCGAGTTTATGCTACAGTGAATTCCTTATTGATAACACTTTTCATAACGATACCCCTGGCTTGTGCAGTTTCGGCAACCCTTATAGGCTGGGGATATGTTAACCTACCGGCCTAAGATATGCAGTCATGTTCTGGTCTACTATTTGTTTTTCGAGTAGCGATTTTACCTTTTTCTTCGATAAGATCTTCCAGTGCGGGGCGCAGGCTATCTCTTCGGAGGGATAAGTCCGAGACTGTCTGCAGAACTGTAGGAATTCATAGCTGCTCTTTTCTCGGATGATCTTGTATCTTTACTAGACGAACTCATCTAGCGACTTGATGAGAGGGCACAGCCACAGACCGATCCGAATTGGCTTTTGAATCTGTGCCGATAACTTGGCCGTGAACCACAAAAGTGTCTTTGTTTCAACGAACGTGGCGACGGCTTAATACCAGGGGTTTTAACTGGTTTGGTGAAATGGACAGCCAGACTAACATTTATCGTAAACAGAGGACTCTGACTACTTAAGTTAGACACATAGGTTTGGAAGCCGGCATCTTGATGTGAATTAATTATTTTGAAATTGTTTATATGACAACGCCACTTAGGTAACCTTTTCGAATTGATAATGAGATAGCGAACCTATTGCGTAGTTAGGTCGCATGTTTCCACTCCACCTTTGGCAACAACTTAACACCCTGCATCTTAGTCCTAAGGAAGTAAGGTCCAAATGCGCTTCATCTGCCCTGTCTTTCCAATGTTCTTTTCAGATATATGCAGCCTGAAAGGACTAGATGTCTCTGGGTTTCCCCTTTTATGGCCAACACTGAACTGCTTTTCTCCAGCACACGAAACGCCCCGTCCAATGAACGCAACCGACCAAAGGGCAAATGCGTCCGGGACCAAAGTTTACACAAGAGAGGCTTGTTATGCAGATTGTGCGCAATCGTACACACAACCTAACTCTGCATGCACACTGCCTCCCTGAACTGACTGAAGCCTGAATGCAGTCTCAAGTGAGCAGAGATAACACCAAAGTAGGAGTATTTGACAGAGATGATACCCAAATTCGAAATTTTCTAAGGAACTGGCCACTCTGCTCAGGTGCGCCGGTGCCTGGCCCGGCCCCTGTAATCTGGATTCACGCAAGCGCAGGTACGCTATCGATTAAGCCGTGAGACGGTGCATGGACTAGGAACCGATAAGATGGATGAAACTCAGGCCTCTCTAAATGTAATTCAATGCATGCGCAAGTCCCAACTGAGCCCTCGCGACAGTGGCGGTTCTCGTTGCCTAAGGACAGACGACGACTTGACAAGTCGTGAGACGACCAGAGGGTGAAAATTCTAACGGCATCCTGTTTCACATCCTACGAACCTTGTGTCTGCCGCATCTCAAAACTTACTTGTCTATGGCTCACGATCCACGAACGCTTGCTGCTTGGCACTGGCGGACAGAAGCTACAGTTTGTGTCTGCGCCTGACGAGTTTGAAAGTCGATGGTTGCATTTCACGACACCGCCGTATTAAGAGTGACACTTTCCTGAAACTACGAAGAGTAGTTAGACATTCCATGAAAATGCGTTTGAATTGCACCCATCGGTAGTAAGTGGCAATTGTTTTAATGTATTCCGTGACACACTGCTTTCCGGAGTGCCGTTGCAAATGCACTGACGCGTTATTGAATCAATTAATCGTTGTCACGAAAATCTACGAATAATAAGTCTGACAGAAGTAGAGGAGGTAAACGAAAGCCATCATCTCCCCGAAATTGCACTTACCGAAGGATAGGTCTTCTTCACCTCCAGGCTGTACATGTACGTGTACGTTGTTCCAGCATCAAGTGGACACGACGGACTGGCGAACTTGCAGAGATCATTGTCTGGAATTGGAAAGGGTATCGGGACACCCGCAATGATCCCGTGAACACTGGCCTTCCCGCTCTTCACGGCGTGATCTACAATACCAAGGAAAGGAAAGCGGGGATACAGTCTGGCCAGTAATGTGTACTCGGACCGCAGTCCACTCCACAATGTGGGGAGAGGTTGGGTAGATAGAAAACTATGCACCAAGTGTGCGATGAAGTATGTCGGGCTGATCCTAACCAGCCAATCAGATAGTAACCTTGATTAGTAAGGCTTGTTAAAGTCCAGTTTTTTCTTCTCCGGGCCGAACAAAGCCTACAGCTCCCAGAGTAATTGCTGATGTGTGAACGGACGAGGTAAGACTTGATGGCTGGAGAAAGAACGTTAATCGGTGAACGTCTCGGCCTTTCGGACCCATCAACAAATAGTGCAGTAGATAGAAACGGTGGATGCACATGTATGCAGTATTTATAGAATGTGATGGCTATGCAACTAGAAACCTAATAAAGTTAGTGGGTAATAGGTGTTGTAGCAGATCTGAATAATTCATTTTGACCCATCTGCGAAAAACTCGACCTCGGTGGGATGCGAACCCATGACAGCAAGGGGAAGACTTGAGTACAGTTAACGCTCTAATAACCTTAGGTACGAGGCCCCATCGGGAAGCCGTGAGTTTAACCACACTTAGGTCAAGTTACCTGTCCACCCTAGTGCAATGTACGCAATCCACCAAATCTTGGTCACCGGGTTTTTCACAGTTGGGTAAAAATGGATTGTTCAAAATCGGCCAAAACTCCTATTAATTACGTAAGCTTGGTAGTCACCTGGTGTATCCTACATTAATTACTTAGGAGATCATGCTTGGGCGGTCAGTTTACTTTATTAGACTTGACAGGTAATTTGACCCAAATTTGATTAAACTCACGGTCCCCTGGTAGATCCTCGTAGCTCAGGTTGCTAGGCTGTTGGCTGTATTCAAGCCTTCTTCTTGCTGTCGTGGGTTCGAATCCCACCGAGGTCTCCGACTTTTTCACATTTGGGTCAAAATGAAAGTTGGTAACTTCCGCGTTCATTACCGATGTTCGTACCTGGTACGATAATGGCTTGTGCATCCACATCAGAGAGGTTAGTTGCCGTGACTTAAGTACGATCACTGGCGCACATTGGTTCACCGGTGGTGCTACCACAGGCAGATTTCATCTGCGCTCTCCTGACATGACTTACTACAAGAAGCCGCAGCAGTGAATAGGAAGGTTGAAAAGACATAGCGTTCGTTGGTGGATTACATGCCTGAGGACCATGACCCAGGCTACGCATGCAGTTGTCACCTCTTGAGGAGATTTCGGTCGGGTCCTGCCATGTGGACCGTAACCTCTGAGTTGGCGCAAGTTCTCCACACTGCTGGTGTATGCTCGGTCATCCACGACTTAGTACTGTTTCTGTTCTCCCGGCCTAACCAATCTACTCGAAATTCCACCAAGTCCATGACACCAGTTAGACTCGAAGCAGGCCAGTCGAAGGGTATTTTAAAATAACTGACGAACGAACTGACCGCTCCTCCAGGATTGGTATTCTGGGTTTCGCCAGTACTGTCAGTGGAGACACCAAGAGGTAAACAGATATTGTGGCTTCACAGCTCGTGCCACGCGCGTGCAGGGCAGTAATTAATGTCTTAAGCGGACTCAGCGCAGTTCAACCAACGGCGGGGAAGCCTCCTTCTTCCCCGTTTCGAATAACACTGTTTCACGACCAGACATCGAAAGCCGAACATTGATGCAACTGAAAGGTTTTCGGTCCGTTCGATCCCTGCCATCTTTTAAGCACACCTCTCACCACGGAGCGCTGAAAAGATTTAGTTAACTTATGCGAAAATTCCAGATGAAATAGAAACTGTGATTGAAATCTTACTTCCTGACTGCTTATTAGTCTCGACTTAGGGGGAATAGTTTGCATACATACGTTTTAAGTACATCATCATGCCAATTCGGTCAGGAATACGTTCTTCTGGTAGAGGGGCGCTCATCGACCGTGTTACGAAACTTACTCGTCCCCTTGTGCCTTGGGGCTCTCTCTCTCTCTCTCGAGCTTAACTAGCAGCCGCACAACGGCGCGAAACGTAGGCAAAGGGGGCTGGAATGGTCATTTCTGGTTTATTAGTCATCGTCAGCCAGTCATACCCAACTCCGAAGTGTGGAACATCTGGGGCTCGATCCCGTGACCTGTTGGTTAGAAGTCCAACGCCTCTAATCACTGAGCCACGGGCTCGTTGTCCTGTCGGTTGCGTTCGGGAATATACAGTTTTCTGCACAAACCCGATTCTATGGCCCTGATGCGAAGATAATTTGCAATCATAAGCGTTCTTGTGGGGCAAGCCATATTGTTTGAATGAATACGCGACAGTAAAAACGGCCAACGGACCTGGAGGATGGAGGAAATCGTACAATACACCACTGCATCCTAGCGCGCCTTGTAGACATTGGTCACTAACGAGGACGGCAGGCAAGCCATCCAAATAAGCTATTGAGTGCTGGTGAGTTACCAGATTAAAATACGATGAAGCCTATTTGCAGGCTTAACAAACTGGCCCTGCGCACACGGCACTCGTTCAGACTCTGCGGTAGCTGTGGTCCAAATCTAGTTGGCCGGATAACCGCATGAAAACTGAGGTAAGCTAATTGCCCAGAACCTTTCATCAAACGGACTACCCACCCACTTGCTCCCTTTCTTCATATGAACTGAAAAACCAGAATAAGTGACTGTATTTAGTCTATCTATCCCCCTTTAAGCTCTGTACTCCAGCCGCCGCTTTAATGAGTATTCATTAAAAACATGCATATATGTGCTAAGTGGCCTTCCGAATGTAACCATGCGCATTTACCCCATTCCAAATACCTCAGAATTGAGGGGAAAAGGACTGTTAAATGAAGATCGCATGACAGTGCTCATTAAAGGAATGGCAATGGTCGCTTACCTGCTTTGAATGTAATGGTCAAATTGGCGTAGGAGCCCTTGTACAGAGTGCAGGGGTTACTGTCGCAGGGGGTAACATCCACCGCGGAAAAAGTGCCTGATTTGGATCCTGAAAGAGAATCACCGGAGAAGTATTAACGTTTGCTGGATAGCAAATCTCTGCAAAATTTACTGGTGGAAAACTCTGCTGAAATACATACGTAGCTGGCTTCGACGCGGTCGTATCGCATGGTGTCTTCCACCACTACGACCAAAACCGCCATCACAATCGTGGTTGTCGTCATCATCACCATCGTCGTCGTCATCATCATCATCATCATCATCATCATCATCATCATCATCATCATCATCATCATCATCGTCATCATCATCATCATCATCATCATCATCATCATCGTCGTCGTCGTCGTCACCACCACCCCATCCAGTGACCTCTGATTAGATTACACCTACACAAACATTTCAAGTTGTGGATTGCTGCCATCCAGTGAAAACCCCAGGGTCGGATGTGGTTATGTAGCTCCACCTGAAGTAAACAAACCCCAGTCACCTCTAATACGGGATCGGTAGTAATAGGGGATTTTTATAGGTGGGGTCGGGGAACGCACAGGCGACGAGGTCAAGTAGTTGTATGCTAAAGAAAGGCTATTGGGAATGCGCGGCTGTACTTTGAATGGTTGATAAATAGTTGCGCTAACCCCTAACTATAACCCCTGATCCTAAACCCTTAACCCTAACCCCTTACCTCAATCCCGACAGTACTGTGTCCATCAGGTGGGGCTACCAAGCCACATCTTACCAACCCCAGTCCTTCAGGGGGTATTTGTTAATGGCGAATTTTCGCGTGGAGTCCTCTTCAAATGAAAACCCCCATTCGTCCGTTAAAAAAGTGGAAAGGGACACCTTCTAGCTATAAAAAAGTGAAAGCCGTGTGATAGCCCCAGTCCAAACATTCCATTGATGTCTACTGTTCACAGAGTGCTTCGTCGGAGTGAAGCTGAATTAAATTGCGTACAAACACGACTTTGGTTCACAAACAACACGACCCCTCTGTTGCGTCGCCTGACGAGTGGTCGGCACTCAAATCCTTTAACTGAGCCGATGACCTAAAAGCCGCCCAATTTCAGTTCATTTGATACGAGTCCGTTTTTGAGCCGTGGAAGTATCTACTTTTAACGATGAAAAAATCAAGCCACGCGCTGCCTGCTAGAGCGTAGAAGGGTCGCAACTCTACAGAAGCCGTTAAGAACGTCCGTGCCCCTGAGCTAAGCTTACTGGGCTTACAAGGCTGTGTCATCTTCGCAGATATATTGTTAAAATCGCCAGTAAGACTTACCACAATCTTCCACGTCGGGAATGGAAACGCCGAGAGCCCCCACAATGGCGGCACTCAAAAGAAGCAAGCGGAGCAACATATTCGCGCGCGCGTCCGGCACCCGAAATAACGTCGCAGGAATGCCAGACCTCCCTTCATCGCGTTGGTAGCAAGAGGACAAGCTGCATGACTAGTGGCCATGACGGCTCTCATTGGCTTAAAGTCACAAGCTGTGCTGCCATTGGTCAGAATTACTAACGTCCCTTTTCCGACGACTGTGACGGTTACGGATTTGTCCGGTGACATGACTGAGACAGACACTGTAGCGAAACCTTCGGTTGAGCGTCGGCTTAGCAACCCATTTTGATGGGGGAAGAACGAAAAATCGGTGTGGTGGAAATCCTCTCGGCTAAAGACACTCTCAAATTCGTGATTTATTTCCTTCACCAGGTCATTAGTCAAAAGAAGCAATTTTCATTCGTCCTATGCGGCCATTAAAATGAAACTTCTTTTCCTAAAAAAGCTAAGCTTGCGGAAACAGCGACATAATGCGCTTAAATAAAGCAATTTTTATCATCATCGCAGATGTTTGCATTTGACTAAAGAGTAACCCAGAACGTTCAGAGAAGTGGATGAATTCTTGAAAAATAGCTCAACACTGTGCAAGAAAGAAAAAAATTGAATTTTGTGCCAGTTTGGCGCTTTTTATTTGGCCACCTTTTGCTGCGGCGAGTAACACTTAGGGGCCTCAATGCTGTCAACAAAGACAGCGCACGAATCATGTTTGATGAGCACATATACATGTGATGGATGATCTTTTAAACATGAAAATTGTGCATGCTGAACCAACTAATACACTGGATGGTTACTGTCGATGTTTTTGAAAACACGCATGTTTACATTGACATAAATCGTCCTCGCAACTCTGGCTTTTCAGCTAAGTGCGGAGAAACAAGTAAACTTGGCCATAAATGAACTACTTCAAAAGCTCTCAGTCAGACCGGGAACTGCAGCTTTTTAATTTCCTCATAAATTGATCACTAACTTGGCGTAAGGCAGTCTACTTGAGAATTATAGACTAAGCCTGAAATTTGACAGGAATATTTTGGCCAAAATCCATTAACCAAGGCGAAATGACCGCGTACTATTCATAAACTACCGACAGACAACCAGTAGTTTATGCATGGGTAACGCGATTTGCCACAGTTGACAGCACAGATGCCAGTTAGATGCCCAGACACGCGTTTCACCGATATTCTGCCGCTGCATGACACAGTCACGAAAGATCCGGCTCATCAATGGGTCCACCAGCGCTCCCTGTCTGCTTTATTACAGAAACTCCAATTTTGAAATTTCAGCTTTTTCATTACCTCAGAAAGTAATTGTCAACT